TCAGGCAGGGAGCTGGGACCTGCTCTGCATGCTTGATGCCACAGCTAGGGGTGAGGCGCTGTCTCTGAAGGAGAGGTCCCCTTGGTCACCATCTGGCCAGCCTGGGCTAAGGCTCAGCCCTGCCTGTCTGCACTGCACCTGCTGTGTGCCCAGAGCCAGTCAGAGCACTGCTGGTGTGGCCGGTCTCGCCGTGTCCCTGCCCAGGAGCCTCTGGACGCTTGGTCCTTGCCCCACACTGGCCCAGCTGGCAGCGCTGGAGTGGCACTGGCTCGCAGCCCGCTCCTGGGGGGGCTCTGCCTGCCGGACATGCTCACCCCCCTCCTGTCTCGGGGCAAGGCACGCTGTGCAGCAGCTCCCTCAGCTTGTTCCCTGCTTACAGCCCATGCCTGGGGCTCTGCCAGCTGGAAGGGTGTGAGAGGAGCCGTGGTCAGGTTCTCTCCGTGTGTGACTGTGTGCCTGAGCCCTGAGGATTTCGAGACCCCAGCTCTGCAGGTGCCATCTTTTCCTCCCACCACTGCAGGCACTCTGTCCATGTCATGCCTGCAGGGTGCCTGTGCCTTGTGGAGGGGCAGGGACTGCTCTGCCACTCCAGAACAGGCTCTGGGCAGCCCAGCCCCACTCCTGGCAGCGAGGTGTCATGGTGGAAGTTGTTTTGTTTTGTTTTCTGTGTGCATTCACCAGGAGGAGGAAGAGGAGGAGGAAGATGATAATGTCGGTGAAACCTTATCTGCGTAGATGGTGAGCTGCTGCTTGTGTTTGGGGATCTCTTTGATCAACCAGGGTTTCCTCCTCTGAGCCCCATGCGAGGGGAGCTGCTGAGGCCCTGGCCGTGATGGGTGCATGGAGGAGATCTGGGAGCAAGGGGGAACTTCCCGCTGCTTTCTCTGCCTCTGTCGGCTGCAAGGTTGGATGAACAGGGAGCTGAGCTCTGGAGGGGCAGATCTTGCAGTTCAGCTTTTGCAGTGAGGCTAGGGTGAACACAAGCTGACTCCTAGGATGTAGCCAGAGATGTTACTTGGTCTGTGTCTGCAACTCCTTGCTCAGGCCTGCCTGTCCAAGTGTTTCTCGGGTGAGACTTGACGTTGTCCTTGTCCTCGGCCTCCTGCTGACTTCCCTGGGGCTTGGCCCGGGACGGAGGCCTGGTCATGCTGCCTTCGGCGTGGCCTGGGGCTGAGCACGGTGGTGTCTGTCCTGTGCTTGGAATGAGCTGAGGGTGGTGTTCCAGCCGTGGAGGATTAAGCCATAGGTTTTGCAGAAGTGCCAGTGGAGATGGGTACGAGCCCTGTTCCGTGGTGGCTGTTCTCCACGTGCCTGGCAGCACCGTGGGACTGAGTCTTGTGCTGGGAACCTGCACATGCCCGGGGTGGAGCCATGTATGTGGCCGTGACGTGGCAGCCCTTTGTACGTGGGGGCTCCTGAGGGGAAGAAGATGTGGTTTTGCAGTCTCTTCCCAGACTGGCCTGGGGAGAGGGTTTGGTAGCAAGTGGGCTAGAACCTTCTGTGTTCCGAGTACCTGGTCCTGCTGCGCTGTGCCTGTGCTGTGTCAGGGCCAGGAGTGTGCTCATGCCTCTCAGCTGGCCTTGCCTGGCGTGTGATGAGTGCTCTGCTCTCTTCCAAAGCTGCATGGAGGAGCTGGGGAGGGGAGCCCACAGCCCAGCAGGTAAGTTCCTTCCTTCAGTGCTGCTTTGTCACATGCCCCTGGTGTGTCCTCTGCAGGGGAGGGGGCTAGTGGCCCACCTGGGAAGGTCTGCTTTACCTCCCAGGCTGCGCCAGGTTCCCAACTGCATGTCTCATGCACCGGCTCTTCCTCCCTCTTGCTTTTCAGAGTCCGCACCTCTTGTTCCCCGAGCGAGCTCTCCTATGGCGCAGCTGCTGTGCTACCACCTGGGGCAGCCCACGGGTGGCTGGAAGGGACTGAGAGGGGTTGGAGACCTCCCTTCCGCTGGCTCCAAGACTCCCCTGGGCTAAGGCAAACCTCTGCCATGATGGACCAGCCACTCAGGATTCACCCTGTGCCTGCCTCTGCCCCAGCACTGCCTGTCTGGCCCCAGGGCTGCTGGCACCGCTGCCACGTGGCACACAGACTGCGACGCTGCTCCTCATCCTGCTCTCTGCCTGCATGAACTGCCTCAAACCGCAGCTGCTCCCTGCTCCCAGCTCAGGCTGCAGGGCTGGTGCTCCTCAGTCTGCCCAGTCCTGGTGCCTGCAGAGCCACTCACATGCTGGGACCGAGAGGGATTCAGCCTCAGACCCCACCGCATCTCGCCCGCTGTGCTCATTTCTCCCACTTTGTTCCTCCTGGTGGCAGCTGGGGACTGGCAGAGGCTGAGCGGCCCCTGGAGATGGTGGAGGACCTGCCCCCACATATGTGAGCCTGGGGTAGCAATAGCTCTCTGCCTGGAGGAGTGAGTGACTTACCCCTGCAGTTTAGCCCCACATCCTCTCGTGAGTGAAACGAGCTGACTTCTAAAGGAAAGCTCTGCCTTTATAGGGAAATAAACTGAGTTTTTTACTGTTGTCATTGGGGTTTGAGTGCTGTGTGAGGTGCCATGCACAAGCATGAGAGGTGCCATGTCTGCTGCGGTGAGGCTTCCTCATGGGAAGTGAGGGCCTGGCTGTGACCGAGCTCAGGGACCTGGAGCTGTGACCTGGAGCTCCGGCGGCTTCCTCAGCTGCTGGGCCCAAGGGAGCCGTTGCCCTGTGCTGAGGGCAGCTGCGTTCGGGGTGGGCAGCTGGTGTCAGCCTCTCCCCCAACACATGCCGATTGCTTCACCCACCCTTGGCTCTTGTCCTGTTCACCATCTCCTGCCCCTGGGGAGGGCAGGAGCTCTGCCCTGCTGCCTGGTGGCTGTCACATCTCAGCCCCTCTCCCCACGCTCCAGGTGGCTGCAGTGTGCTCTTTGCTGTGACGAAGCCAAGCGCCGCAGCCCTGCGTGAATTCTTGCAGGACTTCATGGTGCCAGCTCTGCTGTTTTTCCTGGCTTTAATCAGCTGCTGCTGCAGTGAGGGAAGAGCTTCCCCAGCCCCATCTGAGCCTCATGTCTGTGAGAGCCTTCCTCAAGTCTCTCTGGTCTCAGTGACACGGGAGCTAGCAATGGCCTCACTATCACCACACGTTCTAGCACTGTCCAACATCTCCTAACCTGGTGTGCCAGAATTGCTCTGCCCCTCTCCTTCTGCCACTGGTGCTGTGGGGTGGGTGGCGGTGGCCTGTGTGGCGCTCCTGCTCTGCCCTGTCACTGTCCTGAGCTGGTGCTGCTGGACCCATTTGTGGGGTGTGTGCTTGTACATGCCTCAGAAAATACCTTTGTTCGATATCGCTGCTGCCTTTCCTGTGCAGCACACATCACTGCAGCTCCCTGCCTCCCTGCGCTGTCATGGGCTCAGAAAGCAGTGGTGCCTTGTGGGTTTCTTTGGGCGTGTGTGTCTTTTCTGCCTCAACACTACACCCCAATGTTATGTTTATTGTGACAGACTTTTGTGCTCCTTTTTTATTTGCTCACAACCACTGCATATTGACACATTTTTCGGTGCCTTCCCCAGCTCCTCGACTCCGCTGCATAGTCGTGCTCCTTTGTATGCATCTCTGGTCTCTTTAAAGAACTCATGATAGCAGGCATGTGTCTGCTCTGACCCTCCAGTGTAGTACCTCTAAACGTTTTCCAGGGCACCAGAGCTTTTTAAAAACTCTTGTATTACCCTGACAGCCTCATTTTTATTAATGTATCTCTCTAGAAAACAAAAGTTAGCTGGCAGTAGCAAGGTGGTTTGCCTCTGGGGCTGTGCCACTTGCACACCACCACCATGGTGCTTTTGCTCCTCGGGTGCCCAATCCCTCAGCCGGGCAGGGAGCGGCACAGCTTGCCGTGGTCCTGGCTGTGCTGCAGGGGCGTCTCTGCTCTCTGCAGCTTGTTTGGTGTGTGCAGATGAAGTGGCTGTGATGTCATCCCCCATGGGACAGTCTGCGAGGGCAGGTGCAGTGCTGACATCCCCTCGGGCCAGAGAGGTGCTGGCTGACCTTGGAGGAGCTGCAGCTCCTGCACAGCCTGCGCGGAGAGGTCTTCTAAGGGCTGTACATACACATTCAAGAAGTGCTGATACACGAATGCGCACACACACGCACACACCCACCCACCTGCAACTCCACAGGACCAACGCTGCCTTTAGCCAGGATGCTTTTATTGAAAAGACCCTGCCACAGGGAGTTGCTTATCCTGTCCCTTCTTCACCTCGTCCTGCAGCGAGAGCTGAGCAGCACCTGGAAGGAAGAGTCCTGAAAGTGCTTTACTGGAAGACGCTGGATCCTGTGATGCTTGAGTCCAGGGCTGCAGAGGCAGCACCCAGCTCCATGAGAGGCTGGAGGGCCGAGGGCGGGG